AGAAAGAAGTAGAAAAAATTATCTAGTGTAAGGATGCACCAGAGCATCTGTACTGTGGTACCCTTGGTTACTGTCTACAGAGGACAAAAGTTGGTGAAAAAAAATGAAGAAGAAAATAGGATTCATCTGAAATGTGGTGTTGGGAAGAGAGCCTTACAGATACCACAGATCACAAGAAAGGGCATTTTGTACTTAGGAAACCCTAGAAAATGACTGTCATAGGTCATGGGTGTGTCATCATGTTCCTTTTCGCATCTTTCTTATACAGTGGTGCCTCGCTTTACGATTGCCCCGCATTACGATGAATCTGCTTTATGGCGATCTTTTTGCGATCGCAAATGCAATCGCAAAACGATGGTCTAAATGGAGGAATTTCGCTTTGCGATGATCGGTTCCCTGCTTTGGGAACCGATTCTTCGCCAAACAATGTTTTTCTAACAGCTGATCGGCAGTTTCAAAATGGCCGCCGGGTAATTAAAATGGCTCCCAGCTGTGTTTAGGGACGGATTCCTCACTATACAGGCAGAGAAAATGGCCGCCATATGGAGGATCTTCGCTGGACGGTGAGTTTTTACCCCATTGGAATGCATTGAATGGGTTTCAGTGCGTTTCAATGGGGTTTTTAATTTTGCTTTACGATATTTTCGCTTAACGGCGATTTTCCTGGAACAGATTATCGTCGTTAAGCGAGGCACCACTGTAGAACATGGTTTCCAAACGCCCATCTTGGTTTGTTGAGTTATTTTTTTCACCTTGTTTGGGTATTGTTTGAGAACTGCCCAACGCAGATGCTTGGATGGGGAGTCTCTGCTCTTGAACTGGAGGTGGTCATGTCGTATTTGCATTGTTGGTAGGATATGCTTGGTCCTGTGCATGCCTACCAGCGAGTAATCACCAGTGCATGCAACGGAGCTTCCTTTTCAATAGACATGCAGTGAACTCTGCTCTGTGCGCCGCTGCCATGAATCCGAACATAGCCTCGGAGAAGGACCCCCGTATCCTCGTTGTATCAGTAAGCTCTTGATCCCGGAGTAGACTTTGGTCTAGATGGGCGGGGTATAAATTAAATATAAATAAATAAAAGACCCTTCTTTGGGAAGAAGTGGTAGATGGGAAAGGTTCTTTGCTCCGGCAACAACAGCTGCGATTGAGAATAGAATAAATGCCATTTTAAAAATCAGGGCCAGATGTTTTAACTCGGAGTGCAGCCAACCACTGATGGGACCCTGAGCCAAGAATTGAAAGGACAGGAGAATCTTCGTAGCCTGCTCTTTCCATCAGGACCAGATGGTCTGAAAGGGCAGTAAAAAGGCTTCCGCAGAAGAGAATCCCATAAAAAGCAAACGTTACCCAAGAGCAAATGTGTATTTTTACTCCTTCTGCAGCAGGATGATCCAAATCTATTCCAAAAATATGTGTGGGAAATTCCCGTAGGCCAGAGAGCCCTGTCCTCTTCTAAACCTGCTAAATTTTTCACGGTGCTTTCCTCGCTGGCCATTCCATGATGAAAAGTAGCTCCTGTACTGTACACACAGACAACTGCGACCCCCTTCCATAGGTCTGAGTTCCTGGCATCCCCAGAGGCAACAATCTGGCCAGAGAACAGAACACAAAAAATGCACCGCAATCTACTTATCAGGGAAGCATCGGCATTTTGCATGTTCCTGTCCATTGTTGTTGTTGTTTAGTCGTTCAGTCGTGTCCAACTCTTCGTGACCCCATGGGCCAGAGCACGGCAGGCCCTCCTGTCTTCCACTGCCTCCCGGAGTTGGGTCAAATTCATCTTGGCCGCTTCTATGAGCCTGTCCAACCATCTCATCCTCTGTCGTCCCCTTCTCCTCTTGCCTTCAGTCTTTCCCAACGTCAGGGTCTTTTCCAGGGAGGCTTCTCTTCTCATGAGGTGGCCAAAGTATTGGAGCCTCAGCTTCAGGATCTGTCCTTCCAGGGAGCACTCAGGGTTGATTTCCTTCAGAATGGATAGGTTTGTTCTCCTTGCAGTCCAGGGGACTCTCAAGAGTCTCTTCCAGCACCACAATTCAAAAGCATCAATTCAAGTCAGCCTGCTTTGTGGTCCAGCTCTCACTTCCATACATCGCTACTGAATAAACCATAGCTTTGACTATGCCGACCTTTGTTGGCAAGGTGATGTCTCTGCTTTTTAAGATCCATCTAGGTTTGTCATCGTCAGTCTAGGTTTGTCTAGGTTAGCTGAGCTTTTGTCTACTCCATAATAAAGGGGATGATCAGACGGACCGGCTGTACGAGGTTAGAGCAATTTGAACTCTTGAAAAGAACTGGATAAATGTTCATTATTCATGCATGCTTTTGTTTTGATTACCCTGTAGACGTACTATGGCATGAGTATACATGAATTAACTACAGTACTTAATGTAAGGACAATACAGTTGTGCTCCCTTGTGGACATGAAGTCATGCCCAGTAGTAAACACATGCTAAAGCACACACAAACACACCAGATGTCATGCTTATGAGGATGTGGAGAAGGAGATGGTTTAAAATAAATTTATTATTCACAGAATACATGAAGTTGGAAGGGACCTAATAAAGCCACCGAGTCCCCCCCCCCGCCCGCTCGAGGCAGGAATCCAAATCAAAGCAGATCGGCCAGAGGGTGGTCTAAATTTCTCTCAAAGGCCTCCAGCGTTGGAGCGCTCGCCACCTCCCCTTGAGGTCATGGGTTTCGTTGCCATGCTGCTCTAACCATTATTACTGCTGGAAATGTAATTTCCTTGGAGTAGAGAAGATTACATCAAAAATGTTTTTTGGGGGTGGGGGTCCAGGGAACGGTTTGGATGTACTTAGGACCAGTCAGTGCTGGTTTTCCAGATGCAGGATCTTCTCCCCCTCTTCTCCCCTCCATTCATCTTCTCCACCCCCATCATTCCCTGCAGTCTCCATCTGTCTTTTCTGCCTGCCCTCCACCATCTCGTCCTCCCAGACGGTCTCCGAAGACCCCAACTTTGTGGTTTCCTCCCCAGCAACCTTGTTCCCTTTGCTCCCGAGAGCACCCTCCAGGTCTCGCCTGATGATGCAGAATCCAGCCCCTTCTTTTGGCTGGGGGGAAAAAAAAGGTTCTCCAGCCTCCGACTTCGCCGGCTGGCAGCTCTCCTGGGGGACCACTGTCCAAATGTGGAATCGTTCAGATGGAGAACAGAAGCCTCACTTTGTCACCCCACACGCGCCTCCGGGAGGCCGGGAGCCAAGCCAGGAGACCCATTACTGTCAATTAGACAGAGCGGGGGGGGTGGCTAACGAGGGTTCAGCTGCCTGCGGGGAAGGGCGAGGGAGGCCAGCTGCCTCCTCTCTACGCTGCTCCATTGCTCCTGACACGCGAGCCCAGGCTATTCGGAGCCCAGGAAGGGTGCTGGGGGGGGGGGGGAAGACCTCTGGAGACTGACAGTTCGACCTTGTCTAGAGACACTCAGAGCTTGGGGGGAAAACTGGGCTCTTTGGGTGATAGGCTTGGAATGGAAGTTTTCGGGTTTTGTGCCAAGGCTCTCTGGATCGCTTAGTGGCCTAGTTTGGTTCCCTTCCGTGTCCGGTTGATGGGCTAGACTGGATGATCCAGAGGGCCCCTTCCAGCTCTGCAGTTCCATGATGATGATGATGATGATGATCACAGTTGGAGAGTCGCCTCCCCCACTTCCAGCCATGCTGCTGGACAAAAGATTTTAGGATTTAGGGTCCAGAAAAAAATAGTTCCCCCCCAAGCTTTTGAAAGAAGCACGTCCTCAGAGTGGTGGAATCAGCTTGTTTTCTTCTCCTTCCACTTCGGCAAGCACCTCTCGTTCCTTCCTCATCCTCTGTTTTTGGTGCTGTGTAAAGCAGCCATGAGAAGAGAGGACTCCCTGGAAAAGCCCCTGATGTTGGGAAAGTGTGAGGCCAAGAGGAGAAGGGGACAACAGAGGACGAGATGGATGGACAGTCTCTGCGAAGCAACCAGCATGAATTTGACCAAACTCCGGGAGTGCCCTTAATCAACTTGGGTTGATTGCCCTTTCTCAATAAGCATTGCCTCACAACAGTGGTTCATGCCTTGGTAATCTCTAAAATACAGTAGATTGTTGTCACATTCTCAATGTAGGGCTGCCCTTGAAGTCTGTATGGAAACGTCAGCATGTTCAGAACATGGCTGCCAGGCCTCGTACAGGTACCAGATTTGAACACATGCCTCTGGTCTTGGCATGTCTTGGTTGGCTCCCTGTCAGCTTCCTTGCCCAGTTTGAGGTGCTGGCCATGACCTATAAAGCCCATAATGGTTTAGGATCTCAGAATGTCTCTCCCACAAAATAGCGACCCGTCTCACCTCCACCTACAGTGCTCAGTGCTCAAAATTGAGAGGCCTAAAGCTTTCTCAGCCATGGCCGTTTCCACTCTGGACTGCGCTTCTTCTAGAGGTTTGTCCAGGGCCGTCTCTCTCAGTTTTTAGGAAATTAATAAATCAGAATTCTATAGAGCTGCCTTTTATTAATTTTTAACCGTTGGCCTGAGATGTTCTGATTTGCTGGAATTGTTCTGTTTAAATGCCCTTTTATTCCGCCAGGGATGGGATTCTTGCTGTATTTATTGTATATTGTAATTTTAGGCTGTTTGATCGCAATGGGTTGTGAACCTCTCTCGAGAGAGTGTTCACCCTGATGGGGCAATACAGAAGTTCAAACAAATCCTTATCCTTTCTGTGCTGTCCAAAATGGGCTCAGCCGCAACTCCCATCATCCCCAGCCCAGCCACTGTGGATGGGAGTTGTAGTCCAGACAGGCCTCTGGAGGGCACCACGTTTGGAAGGCTGCGAGTTCTAAGCCTGAAATAATCATTTAGTGTTTAACCCCCATGCTTCCCCTTCGTTTCTTCCGCTGTTACCACCCTCTGCTTTTCCAAGGCTCTGTCTCCACAGATAGACTCTGGGATGGCCGAAAATCTTAAGAACTCCTTCTGTGCCCCAATGAATTGTTTACCTGGCTTCCCTTTGGTGTTTTGCAGAAGCTGAGTTGTGGCATGCAGGCCGATGAAGGCACCGACTGGCTTCTAGAGCTTTTAACCGAAGTCCAGCTGCAACAGTATTTTCTGCGGATCCGGGATGACCTCAACGTCACACGCCTCTCGCACTTTGAATATGTCAAGAACGAAGATCTGGAGAAGATTGGCATGGGGAGGCCAGGTGAGTCAGTGAAGACCCCCTGCCACCCACCCCCTGCCACCCGCAGCTTTATGGAATAAAAACAGAGAAGCAGCAGAGTAGGTCAATGCCAAGAGAGTATGAATAGCCCAGGGTTCTTGTTGGAATAAAATAAAATGTTCTTCTGTGACTTTGACAGTTGAACAGGGATTTGAACCCAGCTCTCTTGCATGCTCGTCTAACACTCTTAATTACTGGATCATGCTGGTTCTCCATGGACTGTGATTCAAAAAAAATTCTACGATCAGAGGTGGTTGCTGTCGACTTTGGGTTTCCTCCCAAATTTCCAACAGTACGTTTTAAACTTACCACAAGAAAACCATACTTCAGATCTCATCAAATACCCTTCCTTAAAGTCAGCGCTCTCCAGATACTACATATCCCATCATCCCAGGCTTCAATGGCTATTGGGTCCCGGATTGGATTGGGTCAGGTTGCAGTTTTTGTGGAATTTATTTGCCCCGCCCATCATGTGGCAAAGCCACTATGGGCTGCTTACAATCAGGACATCAGAATACAGTCGTGCACTGCTTTACGATTACCCTGCATTACGACGAATCAGCTTCACGACGGCATTTTTGCGATCGCAAAACGATGGTCTAAATGGGGGAATTTCGCTTAGTGATGATCGGTTCCCTGCTTTGGGAACCGAATGTCGCTTTATGACAATCAAAAACAGCTGATTGTCGGGGTTTCAGAATGGCCACCGGGTGCTTAAAATGGCTCCCCGCTGTGCTTAGGGACAGATTCCTCGCTCTACAGGCACCGAAAATGGCCGCTGTATGGAGGATCTTCACTGGGCGGTGAGTTTTTAGCCCATTGGAACGCATTGAATGGTTTTCAATGCGTTCCAATGGTTTTTTTAAATTTTCGCTTTACAACATTTTCGCTTAACAGCGATTTTCCTGGAACAGATTATCGCTGTTAAGCGAGGCACCACTGTATACATACTGTACAACTAAAATTCAGGAAACGGTACACATTGAAATGTGAAAACCTCTCAAGCCGTAACTAGATACAAACATCTCAGCTGAGATAAAAGATGGTAGTGATATTGTAACCACCAACCAGCCCATGAATTTCAGGGTCATCAGAAAAAGTCACAGAAACCAAAATGAAGCAGGGGTAACCCTGAGTAAAAAAAAAAAAAGGTCTGGCTTCCAAAAGCTGAAGAGGGTCAAGAGTCCCATTGCCACTCCACCGGGAGGGAGTGCCACCACGTGGCAGCCACCACGGAGAAGACCCTGTACCTGGTAGTGGAGTTCTGGGGCCCCCTTCACGTGGCCACCTGTAACTTCATGGATTGGGGGGGGTTCACTCCGAGGAAGAGGTGCTCTGATGGGTATGATCTGTCTCAGTGAAGCGTCATCCCATCTGCAAGCTGCTTGTTTGGTGGCATAATACAAATAAGAGGGCTGGTGGCGGGCAGGGGAGATATTTGGGAGGGGGGATCAATTCCCCACCACCCATGGTGACTGACCACCACTCGCTGCTTTCGCAGGTCAGAGGCGTCTCTGGGAAGCCGTAAAGAGGAGGAAGGCCGTATGCAAGCGGAAATCCTGGATGAGCAAGGTAAGAAATGGGTCTCTTGAGAACTAGAAACTTGTTCAGAAGGCTAAAACAGAGTCTGTGCGTCTGATCAGGCAGTTCTTTCGATTCAGTTAACCGGGACGTAGAAGGCGCCTGATGCGTCTCCTGCTTGCAAAACAGACACCCCTAGATTGACGTGTATCCTCGGGCGGCCCTTTCTCACGCCGACCCCCTTTCGTATGCACCTTTCTGAAAGCCACTCGGGTGCAGAGGGGGCCACAGCGGCCCAGCGACGGCACCCATCTGAAATGGAGATACCTGGTAGGTCTCGAAATGGCTCTTCCAGGGTGGGATTTTTGGAGCCGGAGTGCAAAATTAAAAAATATGTTCTGCATTTCTGACCTTGCAAAGCAAAACAAGACACAAAAGTGAGCTGTGTAAAGCTTGTGTGGTTGGTAGTAGAGGGCTTTAAAAAAAGGTCCTTTCTTGAACTGCAATTCCCAGGGTTTCTCTCACCCAGAATGGCCATGGATCACCATGGCTGGAGGGTTCTGGGAATTGGAGTCCAGCTATTCCATTCCCCAAGCCCGCGGCGTCTTTTGCTGACTTCTCCCGGCGGCCACTGCTGCGGCACGCAGCAAGCGCAGCTCCCAGTGGCCTGGAATAAAGGGATGATGAAGACAGATGAGGCGATTGAGCTAATTGATTGTGCTGATGGCATTAGCCGCCTCTCTCTTCCCAGCTCAGAACAATTAGCACCCCCAGTTCCTGCAGGCTAATTCTTAGCCAATAGAGGCAGCCTTGTCTGTCCTGCTGGCGCCCCCCTCTGGAGAAAGGAGCCAGCCTGGGGCAGCATGTTAGCACCCAAGCACAGCTGGCTTGTGAAGCTTCTGCTTTGCCAAGGATGGGGGGATTTCTTCCCAACAAGCTGGCCCGGCTGCTGCATCATAACAGTAGACCCCAACAGTGCCCTCTGTCCACAGCTCCTTGCACCTAACAAACCAGCCATGCAGACTCATCCTGCAGCCCCCTCCCCCAGGATTTAGCAGTTTGCCATCGGACTAATTACTTAAGAGTGCTAATTTAGTTCTTGAATATGCATTTTTGCATGCAATGCGAGCTGTAGTGAGTTTCACTGCATGAATGCATGAACGCCGCTGCTGGCTCAGATGAGAGGATTTTATCTCATTCACTTTCCTTTCTCCTGCAGCTAGGAAAAGTTGCATTTTTTGAGATACAAACCTCCAGAATTCATCTGGGAATACTGAGAGTCATCCTGGGGAAGGATGGGGTGTTTAGCCAAAAACATGACTTTCCTAAGCTCTTTTCAGTGACTGCCACCCAGATACTTCTTGATTGATTGATTGACCGATTCATTGCATTTATTTATTTTATTAGATTTCTACCCCGCCCATCTAGACCCATTGCATTGCATTGCTATGTTGGCTTTTTTGCAGCTATGGCACTCAAATCATTTAAAAAAAGAGAGAGAAAGAAACAGGTGTTAAAAACAGCATATAAACGACAATCAAAAAATGGTTAAACAAGGAATTATTAAAATCATCATATTAAAACCAAATCAGGAAATACAAAACTATTTAGAAACACATGAAAAGGATATATTGTTTGCCAGTGTGGGGGCAACAAGCTATGTTAAAATTGGACATTAAATACTGAAAGCCAATTAGATTGAAAAAGGTGTCAATTGTTGCCAAAAAGAGAGGGGGGGCAGCCTTACCCATTGAGAAGGCCTGCTCCCAGATCCCTGGGTACAGAATGTCAAAAAACCCAGAACATCAAGATCCGGCCATTATTCTTGAAGGCTCCTGCTTCTCGGCAAGAGAGAGATGGCAGGCTGAATAAAAAACCAAGGGTGCCAACGCCACCTCATTCTGGAGACAAAAGCTTATTTTGGACCCCTGTCGATTTGTCTCTCGGCTTGGGCAAGACACGCAGGCCTTTTGTGTTGAGTTGGACGGTTTGAGGCGTATCGAATCCAGCCAAATCCAGTTGAATTCGCCTTTTGTCTTGCATTCGCTCGCTTCCCCACCCTACCCTCACTTTGCAACGGTACGGGAAGAGGACTCGTTTTGAGGCCGATTCGTAGACATTAACGAATCTGTTTGCAGCGAATGTGGGGGGTGGGCGGAGGGGGTGCGAGTCACCCTTCTTCCACCAGCATGTCCGTGTGCCGCGTGCGCGCAGGAGGAGAGAGAAAGCATTATGATCCGATGGGCTGCGGGCACTTGGGACTCCACTAAATCCAATTCCCCGTCATTTGTCAGGAAAGGATTGAATTAATCTTTACCAATGGCGGAGAGCCCAGTGCTGCGTCTGCAGACCGAATCTTCTGCCCGGGTGGAAACAGAGCAGTGTTTAGGGAGGTTTTCTGGCGCCGAGGCGTCAAGAAGGCAGTCTGCGTGCGAATCAGTGGGGAATCATTTCACCTGGATGGATTTGAGAATATAAAAGCCCGGATTTTTCTGCCCATTCTTCCCACCGCTTGGCACCCTCTAGAAGTGGCAGACTACAACACCCATCATCCAGAAGCTAGTACTAGTCCCTCTCTAGTCAGCACTGGTTCAGCCTCATCTAGATAGTATTCTGGATGGAGGGCACCACACTTGAAGGATGCCAACAAACCGGAGCAATCAGAAGAGGGGGCCAATCAGGAGGGAGGATCAGGGGACGGCAGAGCAAGCCCTCGGAGGAGAGATGGAAAGAAATTGAAAAATGTTTAGCCTTGAGAAAAGAAGGCAGTCCTGTAGAGAAAGATCCGTTTTCAATCATCCTGGAGGACAGGGCACGTCACAATGGGCTCAAGTGACGGGAAGCCGAATTTCGGTTGAAAAACTTTCCTGTTAGAGCAGTACAACAATGGAACCCATGATGTCAGGGACAGGGGGTGAGCGCTCCAATGCTGAAGGCCTTCAAGAGAAAATTAGACCACCCTCTGTCAGATCAGGGACGTGGTGGCACTGCGGGTTAAACCGCAGAAGCCTCTGTGCTGCAAGGTCGGAAGACCAACGGTCGTAAGATCGAATCCACGCGACGGAGGGAGCTCCCGTCGCTTGTCCCACCTCCTGCCAACCTAGCTGTTCGAAAGCATGTAAAAATGTGAGTTGATAAATAGGGACCACCTTGGTTACGATGTTCCATGTCTAGTCGCACTGGCCACGTGACCACGGAAACTGTCTTTGGACAAACTCTGGCTCTACGGCTTGGAGCCAGCGGTGAGGACCACACCCCTGAGGTGGTGGGCTAAATGTCAAGGGGTGCCTTTACCTTCCACCTGTCCAATCTGCCTTGATTTGGATCCCTGCCTTGAGCAGGGGGTTGGACTCAATGGCCTTAAAGACTCCCTTCCCATTCCGTCATGCTAGGATTCTATGAATGCATTCAATGATTCCATGCTGGCTGACGATGGGGGGGGGGCTGTCGTGAAACACATGGTTAGGTTTTGGTTTGGTAAGAGGCTGTGCTCGTCAGATACCTCTGTTCCTCTGCTCCCATTAATTAGTTTGAAGTGTTTCTGCCGTTTGGTTCTTTATCTTTACAGCCCTCCCCCTTTTGGGCTCCTTCCCCACCAGAGTCCGAGCCCTCCCGCCCCACATCTCCTTCCTTATTGTGCAATATAAAGAGCTGTAAATAGAATGCCATTCAGTGTACCCCACTGGGAAAAGGACCCTTTCCCCTCCATACTTCCTACTCTGCAAACTTCTTTATCATTCTTATGCAAGCCATTGGTCCGAACTCCTGGGGATGTGGTGGGGTTGGAGATGATCCCTTGGAATATTTGCAGTATTCTGTGACCTCTCTGCAATTCAGCCTTTGGGGTAGGGAGGAGGCACTTGTATTGATGATAGGTGATTGCCATTAGCCTTAGCCATTTATTCATTTATTTTAACTCTTTCATGCTCAGGCCATGTTTGACTGTGGAGCCAATGGTGTGATGCCGCGGCAAAAAGGGCCAATGTTATTTTAGGATGTATTCATAAAAGTAAACTTCCAGATCCCACAAGGTGCTAGTTTTCTCTCTGTTCAGCACTGGTTAGGCCTCACCCTGAGTGTTGTGTCCAGTTCTGGACACCGCCTTTCAAGGAGGATATCAGGAAAAAATGACCTAACCGTTAGAGCAGTACGACAACAAAACTCATTATCTCGAGAGCTGGTGAGTGTTCCAGCGCTGGAGGCCTTCGAGAGGAAACAAAGACCACCTCCTGGCAGATCTCCTTTGATTTGGATTCCTGCCTCGAGCAGTGGGCTGGACTTGATGGCCTTGAGTGGCCCCTTTCCATCGCCATCTGGAAGCGGTCGTTCAAAGCAGTCATTTCTGCCAAACCCCCCTACCCCCTTTTCCCCTGTCCTTCCCGGCTTCTCTCCTCCGCGGCTCCCCATCTCACATGCTTCTCCTCCCGTGCAGGTGTTCAGCGGGAAGCGGCCTGACTCGGAGTTCCCGCCCCAGCCCCAAGGCGCCCTGGGCAAGACGTCCACCCCGCCACCCCTGGAGGAAGGCCAGCACCAGGCCTTGACCTGCCTGATCAGCGAGAAGGACCTGATGCTCTTTGAGAAGTTGGGAGACGGCTCCTTTGGGGTGGTGCGGCGTGGAGAGTGGTGCGCACCTTCTGGCAAACTGGTGAGGCCCGTGCAGCCTTTTGCCGGCTCTACTGTTAGGCACAGCAGATCCTCTTGGGTGTTTCTCTCTGTGTTCTCCTCTGCTGTAGCAACGTCTACGTTGGCTCGGGCGTGTTGTGAGAATGGCTGACGGTCAGATTCCAAAAGATCTCCTGTATGGAGAATTACTGCAGGGAAAGCACCCCAGAGGGAGACCCCCAGCTGCGATACAAGGAGATCTGCAAGTGAGATCTGAAGGCCTTGGGAATGGACCTCCACAGATGGGAAACCTTGACCTCTGAGCATTCAGCCTGGAGGCAGGGGGTGCATCATGGCCTCTCCCAATTTGAAGAGACCCTTGTCCAGCAGGCTGAGGCAAAGAGGCAGTCCCGAAAGCAGCAAAATCAGGGAGCTGGACAGGGGACAGACTATTTGTCTTCAGTGTGGAAGGGATGGTCACTCTCGAATTGGCCTCCTCAGCCACACTAGACGCTGTTCCAAGTCCTCCATACAGAGCAGGTGACCATAGTCTCTTGAGACTGAAGGATGCCTAATCTAAATCTGATCTCCTCTGCCACACCACTTGTCTAGAAGCCCCTAGAATCTAGTTCCTCTCATGCATTAAAGGATGCTCTCTCATTTCAGCCAGTGTTGATACATGATTGAAAATCCCCCCCCCCAGGCCACGCGCTTTCTGGATATGGAATGGGGAGCAGGGGACCCAATTCTTTGACCTCAGTGAAGAGAAACATCTAGGAATGGTGAAATCTCTGGGCCTGAGCTTCCTCTTGGAAGAAGGGGTACGGAGAAGGCATGTGAGAGAAAGGGTTGAAGTTCTTCATCGTCGTCATCATGACAAAGTTGACAATGCTGAGCCTCAATCAATGCTCCTGTGGTTAATCTCCAGCATCTCCTCCTTTTAAAACAAACATTCTTCTTGGGATGTTGGAGGACCAACCATATTGGCCTGATAAGATTTTAGCTGAAGAAAGAACCGTTTAGAGTTTTAGCAAGCAAACTACAGCCTGAGAATTTTTCTTTTTTCCGTCCCCCATGTAATCCCCTCCAGTCTACTGTAACCCTGTGTCCACGTGCCTGGGAATAAGTGCTCATGAGCTCCCTGGGAGTTGCTTCTCCGTGTACATGTCTCTTCCTGTTAGTAAGCTAAGAAAGAGTAGCCCTTTTGGGCTACTTAGGGCTTTGGAGACGAGGAGGGGTGGTTCTAAAACATCACTAAAATGTGCCACTCGGCAAGGATGGAGAGTCCTCAAAGATTGTCTTGAGTTTGGTTAATGTACTGATCTTTGAAGTAGCTCTTAAAAAATCAGTCAAGATGCACGATAACACATAACCTTTGTGAAATCCTTTTGTCCAATAGTTCCTAACCTTGGGTCCCTGGATGTTCTTGGACCGAGACTCCCAGAAGCCTTCACCACGCGCTGCGCCAACCACGATTTCTGGGGATTGGAGTCCAAGAACATCTTGGGGGGGCACCGCCTGCTTTTGTCCCTTATGGTCTTTCCTGTTTTCTCTGCCAGCTGAATGTGGCCGTGAAGTGTCTGAAGACGGATGTGCTGAGCCAGCCGGAAGCCCTGGACGATTTCATCCGCGAGGTCAACGCCATGCACTCGTTAGACCACATGAACCTCATCCGCCTCTACGGCGTGGTGCTCTCCAACCCGATGAAGATGGTGAGGGCTGCCCTGAGGTCCCTGAAAACCTCTTGGGGCAAACCATCGTAGGAGAGGAACGATGGGATGGGCAGCACCGATATTCTCTGGGCCAGTGATGGTGAACCTTTTTGAGCCCGAGTGCCCAAACTGCCAACACAAAATCAACTTATATATTTCAAAGTGCCAATATTGCAATTAAAACCAGAATGCTGAGGTTTTCGATTAGAAAAAATGACTACTCCTGCACTGCTTGGGTTCCCCCCCCCATGGGCGATATTAAGAAAGAAATACTGGTCCTCCAATCCCCCAGTGGGCTAGACCATTAATGGTCACCATTGCACCCCTCTGCTGGACCACTGCACCAGCAGTGATGGGATGGGCGGCACCGGGATTCTCTAGGCCAGTGACAGTGTATCTTTCTGAGCCGAGTGCCCAAACTGCCAACACAAAATCAACTTATTTATTTCAAAGCGCCAATATTGCAATTAAAACCCGAATGCTGAGGTTTTAGTTTAGAAATAATGACTGCTCCTGCACTGCAAGGGTTTCATGCTTGGGTTTTTTTCCTATGGGCGGTATTAACAAAGAAATACCTACCGGTTCTCCAGTCCCCCATTGGGCTAGACCGTTAATGGTCACCATTGCACCCCTCCACTAGACCATTGCACCAGCAGAGGGGAGCGCCAAAATCCAGGATCGGAGAATGGGTAAGTATTTCTCAATGGCGACTTATGGCTTGCGTGCCCACAGAGAGGCCTCTGGGTGCCAGCTGCGGCACATGTGCCATAGGTTCGCAGTTACTGCTCTAGGCTTTGTTTTTGGCTCAAGACATCCAAGGTTTTATCCTACACATTGCCGGATTTTTGGCTGTCAGAACACGGGGTAGAATTTAGTTGCTCAGCTGGTTACTCTTCTTCTTCCAACTGGATTTTATAAATTACGCTAGCAATTAAAAACCATTCACTGGCTCTGGTTTCATTCTTCCCTTCTCTCTCTCGCTGTCTCTATCTCAGGTCACGGAACTGACTCCCCACGGGTCCTTGCTGGACCCGCTTTTCA